GTTCTGTCCAGGTTCTCCAGCCAGGTTCAGTCACCAGGTTCTAGTCAGGTTCTCTTGCCAATTTCTGTAGTCAGGTTCAATCCAGGATCTTTTGCCATGTTCTCTCCAGCGAAGTTCTTCTGTCTCTAGAGAACGTTCTGTGTAGGTTCTGTGCCTCGGTTCTGTCTCTCTTGGTTCCGTATTCTAAGTTCTGTGTCTTGCTGTCTTATTACATCTGTATTTATACCAGTTGATTCAATCCTATCAATCTCTATTACAAAGGTTAGGGCGTTTCTTATCTCCATTCCAGGGAGTAAAGATTATGTAGCTTAAGCATGATTGTTCGTAGTTAAAGTGATTAATTACCCACCTGGCACTTAGTTAAGAGGTTTTATTCCCTCCCTAACTTCAGGGGAAAATCCCTACCTGGGGAAACAACCTTTCTCAGAGACCTTGGTTAAAACACATAGTGCCAAGAAGGTGAGCAAACATATTAAGAACAGTATGCCATATATGCCAGGTCCCTTGAAACAGCAAGCATGGACTGGCTCCCGGCAAATTCCCCCTTTTTTATTTTTTAAAAGCAGGCATTAAAAAGAAAAACCCCAAATGCTCTCTTGTATCCATTTTAAGAGTAGGATTGGCGCTTTCCGCTATTACCTGAGTCCTGATCTATCACCCCAGGGAGAGCTTGCCAATCCTGCACTTTCCCGGGGTGGAAAGGCTGCAGTGGGGTTAAGGATAAGGCTCCTTGGGCCTACCTCCTCCCATGCCATTACATTTACCTTTCCTTCCTCAGAAAAGCATGGACATATTTCTTGTATAAAACGTTCTGTCTGACTGGGAGTAACCTTAATTCCTCTGCTAGCAAGCGTATATGTTAAAAGATCAATACAGAGTCTTTTTTCTTTAGACTCAGTATGGCACATCTTCTTAATCTAAAGATCAATACAGAGTCTTCTTTCTTTGGACTCAGTATGGCACATCTTCTCAATCTAAGTTCTGTACTATCCACCTTCTTACCCTACTTATCTTCTATAGGGGGGTCTGTAGCACCCTGGTGGAGTCCTATCCGTCCCGAGTGTGGGGGTTCTCAATGGAGGGGGCTTACCTAGGGGAATCCTGTTCCAGGGGTTCCCAAAGGTGTGGACGGAGTTGGCGAAGACTATCCACCCTCTTCCTACGGTGGAGTCCTATCCATCCCGAGAGTGGGGCTTACCTAGGGGTCCCTGTTCGGGCGCCAGATGCCGGGGTCCAACCCCAGCGGGTCCAGGGGTCCCCAAAGGTGTGGACGGAGTCGGCAAAGAAGGAATGACATGGAGGCAGTGTTCAGTTGATCAGCAGCCTAGCCAGGATCTCTAGCCAGGATCTCCAGCCAAGTTCTGGTCTGGATCTCCAGCGAAGTTCTGCTTAGGATCTCCAGCCAGGTTCTGTGGCCATGTTCCCTCGCTAGGTTCTCCAGCCAGGTTCTGTCCAGGTTCTCCAGCCAGGTTCAGTCACCAGGTTCTAGTCAGGTTCTCTTGCCAATTTCTGTAGTCAGGTTCAATCCAGGATCTTTTGCCATGTTCTCTCCAGCGAAGTTCTTCTGTCTCTAGAGAACGTTCTGTGTAGGTTCTGTGCCTCGGTTCTGTCTCTCTTGGTTCCGTATTCTAAGTTCTGTGTCTTGCTGTCTTATTACATCTGTATTTATACCAGTTGATTCAATCCTATCAATCTCTATTACAAAGGTTAGGGCGTTTCTTATCTCCATTCCAGGGAGTAAAGATTATGTAGCTTAAGCATGATTGTTCGTAGTTAAAGTGATTAATTACCCACCTGGCACTTAGTTAAGAGGTTTTATTCCCTCCCTAACTTCAGGGGAAAATCCCTACCTGGGGAAACAACCTTTCTCAGAGACCTTGGTTAAAACACATAGTGCCAAGAAGGTGAGCAAACATATTAAGAACAGTATGCCATATATGCCAGGTCCCTTGAAACAGCAAGCATGGACTGGCTCCCGGCAAATGGCCATGAGTCAGGCAGGTTGAGGGCTGGGTGGGCCAGTGCTCTGCCCTCTGGCCCTTCGGGGGAGGGTGACCTCCAGCTGGAGGCCACGGCCAAGCTATTGTTTGCAGCTTTGCAGGAAGAGGGTTGAAAGGGCCGTTGAAAAATGATCTTACTAAATCAAGCTGTACCAATATTTTTATTTCCTTTCATGCAATGCCCTGTTTGAAAGGCATTAGGTGGGCCTGTTTATAAAGCCTGGGAACGAAGTCTGTGTGACTTCAGTTCAGGAAAACAAAAGCGTCTTGCCCTTAAAGCAGAGAGAACGGCCGGAGGGCAGCTTCCTTCTCAGAGCAGGTCCTTGCTCTGGCACCTGAGGGATGTTTGACAAAAGCCCTTCGGGTCCAAAAGGCGTCCTCAGAGGATGCCACGGGTCCTGACATTTATGCGATTTAAACCACCCTCTTGTGGGTCTAAAAGTTTTATTTTTTTAAACAAGAAATTGGTAGACAGACTTAAGATGATTAGCTGCAGGGTTTATAGCTTATTGTTAAAATATTTTCATTGATTTCAGGGAGGAAGGGAGCAGGAGAGAGAGAGACAGAAACATCAATGATGAGAGAGAGTCATGGATCGGCTGCCTCCTGCACGCTCCCTCCTGGGGATCGAGCCCGCAGCCTGGGCATGTGCCCTGACCGAGAAGTGAACTGTGACCTCCTGGTTCCTAGGCGGGGGTCTGGGCGGGGCCCGAGAGTCTGCATTTCTAACTGCTTCCGAGGCTGCTGGTCTGCAGGCCAGGCTCCGGAAGCACCGCTCTCCGAGTTACCAAGAGCTTTTCCTGGTGGGTCCCCCACTTGTCCAGGTGGATAAGCACCTGTAAGTCCTGAGGTTCCTGTCATCTTCCACCTGCCACTCACATGCAGCTGGCCACCACGCGCATGTCCACTGGCTGCCTCTGGACTTCTCTGAAGTGTCAGCTACCTGCCTGGCACGCAGAGAGCGCCACAGAGGCCAGCAGTGCGAGCGACTGAACTGACGCGCACACCACACAAAAGAAGGAAGAAGGACGCGGGCCCGTGCCCATTCAGACCGTCGTGGAAAGCTGTCTGCCAGTCATGTATGGAGACAGGGAACAGTACAAAGCCACGGCCAGACCTGGTGAGGAAGAGGGAGGAGGGGGAGGAGGAAGGAGAAGGCACAGGAGCAGCAGCTAACTTTGGGGGGGTCAGTCAGAGCCAGGGGAGATCATGTCGACTGTCTATTTAGCCTTTTCAAGACCTCCGTGGGCTGGGGATTACAAGGATTTCCACTCTACAGACTGGGAAACCGAAGCACAGAGAGGATTAGCAACCCCAAAATAACACAGTGAGGAAAGAGCCTATCTGAGCCACACTGTGCGCCCCGCCCCAAGCAGCCCCCTTCTCGGCCGGACCCCGCAGCCCTTGGCTCCCCAGGTGGGCTTCTCTGTGCGGCCCCCCAGATCGGATAGTAACACAGCTCCAAAGACCTGGCCGATGATTTCCTGCTGGTGTTTTCCGGCCTCCGCGTGTTTACCAGCTTGGTCTGTTGTGTTTTTTTGTTTTTAGTCAGAAGTAAAACCAGGAAGTGCAGTGACTACTGAGAAGAGGCTTGTTTTAGGAGACGTAACTTTTTCAAAGTTTCAAGCCCATCCAGAGAGGCTTCATGCACTCCTGGACCTAGTGCGCCTTGTGGCTGGGTGCACATTAAGAATTCATATGTAATTAAGAATTAATACGGCCTGAGTGCCTTGGCAGCTAGAAAGCCCTTCCGCTACACCCACTCATCCGGGTGTCCTGCCGCCTCTGAGCTCGGGCAGGCAGCACGCTCCTTGCTCTACCCAGAATGGAAACGAGGCTGATGGGATGTGAGATTCAGAGCCTGAGCCCGGGTCCCCCACCCTCTCCCTCACATCACGGCTTGATGCCTAAAAACTTAATTTGCTTCAGTGTCAACCTGCCATCCACTAATCCAAACAATTCTATGAATAAAATATCACGTCAGTGCTTATCTCTCTAACCACTTTAAAAAATAATTGTATTGATTTCAAAGAGGAAGGGAGAGGGAGAGAGAGATAGAAACATCAATGATGGAGAGAATCATTGATCGGCTGCTTCCCGCACACCCACCACTGGGGATCAAGCCTGCATGGGCTCTGACTGGGAATCGAACCATGACCTCCTGGTTCATAGGTCGACGCCAACCACCGAGCCATGCTGGCTGGGCTCTAACCACTTCCTCTTCTGTTGACAGTATGTATTCTAATTACTACCTGTAATCACATAGTTAGAAGAGGCCTAAGCTCCTGAGGAGAGCAGCGGGGTGTGCGTCTGGGGTCTGTGAGTGGCACTGGAGAGCCTGACCCCCTTGGCACCTGCCCAGCCTGCTTTTGGGAGCCCCACCCACCTCACACACAGACCTCAAACCCCCAACCGGCCAAGGGTCCCAGCTGTGTCTTGACAAACCTAAAAGCCAAGGTACACGGGTATCTCTTCCAGGGCACAGTGCAAACCTTGGTTTGAGGCAGGGAGGGGGTTCCCCATTCCTTAGAAGTAGCCCAAAAAGGGCCTCGAACTCATGAACTGGTCTAGGAATTAGAAAAAGCATCAGCTTTCGAAATGGAACCACGGGATTTGATTCCTTCCTCCGCCACTTAGCTCATCGCCTCGCTGGGCCTCGGTTTTACCATCCACTAGCCCAGAGGATGACGCACAGCAGGGATGCAGGGGAGTGGCTGTCACGGACCCTGGCACTCGGGTGGGGTCCGGAGCACGGCGGCTGCCCCAGAGCACGGCCCACGCGGGAGCCTCTGCCCTCACACAGCCCCGAAGGCGCGGTCTACACGTGTTAGCAGCATAGGAACAACATGGGGGGTTTTGACTACAATTTTTCATGATGCACTAACTGTCAGGATACAAGAAACAGCCCAGCCTTGCAGCCAACTCCCTCTCTGATGGCAGGGAGTTGCAGGTTTGTTTGTTTTTGGTGTGGGTGTGGGGTAGGAAGAACAAAACATTTACCTTGTCCAGGGCATCTCTGTCAAGGAGTTCTTGCACAGCGAGAAGCTTGATGCTGTAAGAAAATTAAAACCACACTTGAAAACAAACCATTTCATGTCAGCGGGCATCAGGCAGGTCACAGGGCAAAAGGCTGAAATTTCAGCCGCATTTCTACGTCACCTCCCCTCATACGATGGTGGCCTTGGGTTTGAACTGAAATGACCATTACAGAGCTGTTAAGCATGTTTCTAAATGGTGGAAGCGACTTTACCGTCGGATCCAGCAATTCCGCTTCTGGCAGGTACCCAGAAGGGCTGAAAGCCTGGACTCGAGCAGGTGTCTGCACCCCCATTCACAGCAGTCAACAGGCGGGAACAACCAAACGTCCATCGGGGGGCACATACGCAGTGGAATATCATTCAGCTTTACAAAGATGGCAACGCTGGCCCTCGCCGGGTTGGCTCAGTGGATAGAGCGTCGGCCCATGGACTGAGAGTCCCGGGTTCAATGCCAGTCAAGGGCACATACCTCGGTGGCAGGCTCCATCCCAGCCCCAGTCTGGGCACGTGTGGGAGGCAACCACTCGATGTGTCTCTCTCACATCGATGTTTCTCTTTCTCTGTCTCTCCCCCTCCCTTCCACTCTCTCTCAAAATCAATGGAAAAATACGCTCGGGTGAGGATTAACAGAAAAAAACACCCAAAAACAAAAACAGGAAGGACACTCTGGCCTGTGCTACAGGGATGAACCTTGAGGACATTATGAGGTGAAATGAGCTACATAGACACAAAAGACAAATCCCGGGTGACCCCACGCCTCCAAGGTGCCTAGAGCCGTGGTCGGCAAAATGCGGCTTGCGAGCCACATGCGGCTCTTTGGCCCCTTGAGTGTGGCTCTTCCTAAGCCTTAGGAGTACCCTAACTAAGTTAATAACAATGTACCTACCTATATAGTTTAAGTTTAAAAAATTTGGCTCTCAAAAGAAATTTCAAGCGTTGTACTGTTGACATTTGGCTCTGTGGACTCATGAGTTTGCCGACCACTGGGCTAGAGTGTCACATTCACAGAGACAGAACGTGGAGGAGGTTCCCGGGCCCTGGGCGGGGGCGGGGGTGGGAGTTAGTGGCTCATGGGGACCGAGTCTTGGTTTGAGATGAGGACACAGCCCTGAAGACGGATGGTGTGATGGGAGCGCAACAAGCGAGTGTGCTTCAGGCCACTGAGCTGTACACGTATTCGGTGCCAGTTAGAGTGAAGTTTATGTCATGTACACTTCACCCCCAAAATTCTGAAAGGAACTGACAGCCGCCTCTTGTGAGAACCTGAATAAAGTCGGAGGACTATAGAAAAGCACACCGGGGCCATGAGCAGTGGCCATCTTCCCCGACGGCCCTCGGAGGGTGACAAGAAAGAGCGAGGCCACTGCTTACGGAGGCCTGCTCAGGGCCCGCTGGCTCCCTGCACCTGGATTGAGCCCCACTGTGCGGGGTAACCGGGGTACACGCTGGCCCTGACTTGCCCCCCGCCCACGAGGCGCTCACGGCCCCTGGGCGGCCATAGTCAGACCAGAATATGACGTACAGTGTACCAAGGGGACAGCCGAGGCTCAGAGAGGAGCCGGCCCAGCTGAGGTCAGGGAAGGCTTCCTGGTGGAGGGGCCGGTAAGCTTTGCCGGGGGAGGGGCCAGGGATGAAGGCGCCCCACAGAGAACCAGCCGAGGCACAGGCGCCAAGGGGAGAGAGAGAGGGCAGGGGGGACACAGGCCCCCCGTTTCCAGTCCAGGGCCAGAGCCCAGGCCGCAGGCAGCACCTCGGTGAGAGACTTCGGAAGTGGATGGGAGTTTATCGGGGAGGTACTTCCCCTTCTGTGATGAGTGGCTTCTGCAGTGGTCAGAGTCACGGTGAGCAGGCAGCCACGGTGGGCTCATCCGCGCAGGGAGGAAGCAGCAAGCTCAGCAGAGTGCTGAGGGAGGGGTCAGCTGTTGATGGTGTCACCAGCTCCCTCTTCACCCTGCTAATCTGCTTATGGTCGCTGGTCCCTGTGCCCCAACACCTCCCCCCGCCCAACGGGCTCTCTGCACAGGCTCTCTGCAGCAGAAAGAAAGGAGCCCCTCCTGGACCCCGTGCCTCCCTCCCAAGGGGTTCTATCCACGATAAGGTTCACCTTAATTGACAGGACTCTGCACAACGATCTCTCTGCACAACTCGGCAAGCACCAGCCAAGCAAATGCAATGAGTTACTTAAGAGCAACTCCAGGAAGTGCAATGGAAGTTTCAAGTCACCACCACTAGCAGCAGCAACAATTCACAGACCTCAGGGCTCCTGGCAGGGCACTCCCTCTGCTCAGTCACACGGACCTCCCCTCCCTTCCTCCCTCCCAGCCATGCTTGCTTCGTCTTTCTCCCTCCTCGCAGCAGCTGCAGTGCTAAGGTGTGTCCGGATGCGTCCTGTTACATGATATCCTGACGTTATTTCTTACCCGGTTAGAGACTATCCCAGCGGGGAGTCTTTATTTCACGTCTCTGGTACCAGATTCTTCTAGCACATCGGATACCCCCTGGGAGGGAGTTCACACGTGAAGGAGCAGCAAACCCATTTACCAAACACGCCATTCGACACCTCTAACGTCCCGCCCTGGAAGGGAAGCTCATCTCTCATTTCAATCCGGCTCCTCCTCTCCTTCCTCCCTCCTCTCGCTAACTCCACACACACAGTGAGTCCTACTACGTGTCAGAAACGGTGCCGGGTGCCAGGGGGGCCTAGACGAGCACAGCATGGTCCTGGCTCCCACAGGGCTGCCAGAGCCGGGATGCTGCCTGGGCCCAGGCCCGGGAGGCCTGTCTCCCTGAGACCCTCTGGGTCCCCACGCGGACCAGCAGAGCCGGGAGACACGGGGCATGTCAGCCGGTGGCCTGGGCTTGGCCAGCGCGCGCTGAGAACAGCCCAGCTCCTGCATGGCGCTGCAATGCCTTTGTCTGCGCTGGACTTTGAGAAGAGAGGCAAATCCCACAGAAGCAGTGATTTACTTAGAAAGATGGCGACGGCAGGGCCAGTCCTAAAGTCAAGACGGGCATCGCTTAGAAAGACCTAGAAGGTGTGCAGTCATGGCTGCTAGACAAGCCACAGGAGGAAAGGCACTGAGGGCAGAGGTCTTGCTCAGCGGGCGGCATCTGCCACAGTGAGGCCTACACAGAATGCGAAGTGGCAGGCCCCGACCCCGACAGCAGGAGGAAACACCATAAGGCCGAAGACGCAGAAGAGAAAGGGGGCTTCGGGGGGGAGGCTGAATGAACCTCACTGGCCCTGACCAGGCAGGTGGAGGTAGCCCTGTGAGTACCGCAAACATGTCTACAGGGTGACACGCCCCCCTGCACCCACGCTCTCCGAGTCAGGATCAATCTCTACTCCCTCGTCTGGCACTTTGAGTGTCACTGATTTACAAAGTGATGCATTTTAGAGGATGAGATTCGACAGTAATTGCACAGACAATGCAATGTGGAGCCGTCCAGTCACCGCACAGATAAAATACTAGTATGTAAGGGTATGTACCAGGCACAAGTGGGCGCTGGGGATTCAGGGGGAGCAAACCCAGCCTCAGCCAGGCGAGGGCGCTCCAGGAGGCGGAGGCAGGCGCTGTGAGCTTCTGCACCAAGTGGAGAGGCTCCCTGGAAAGGGGCCTTAGTGGACAGGTACGGGGGTGCAGGCGCAGGGTGGGCGGGAGGAAGAGCAGGAGCTGTTCTCAGCAGCGGCTTGTGCACAGATGTGAAGGCTGGCTCCCCCTCTCCCTGCAGGCTCTTCATTGTGCACGTGGGAAAAGCACCCCAAAGAGAACCCATTTCCGAGTCAGGTCCTGCTCCTCCAGGCCACACAGTGCCGGCCTCCAGGCTCCTGAGACCCTGGCAGGCGCCCCAGCTCCCGGCTCCCAGGGAGACCCTCCGTGTGGGACCAGGGCAGCCTCTTCTGGAAATCTCTTCAAGCACAAACCACTGGTCAGAGGTGACAAGGCCACACTAACAGGAAACAGCAGAAGATGGTCAGACCCCATGTGGGAAGCGGCCAGTGGAAGTGAGCCTGGCTCCCGCTGGAGGCTGAGAACACTTCCCCACACTGCACGCCCTTTGTCAGCAACACACTCCTCACCTGGTGCCACTTTTTAAAAAATATATCTTTATTGATTTCAGAGAGGGAGAGGGAGATAGAAACATCCATGATGAGAGAAAATCATTGCCGGCTGCCTCCTGCACGCCCTACACTGGGGATCGAGCCCACAACCTGGGCATGTGCCCTGCCCGGAATCAAACCCTCACCTCCTGGTTCATGAGCTGACGCTCAACCACTGAGCCACGCCGGCTTTCACTGACTCCTCTTTGGCTACTCTGGGGCTTTCCTGGGGGAAGTGGAAGAAACCACCAGGTCAAATGAGCTTTTGCGTCTACTGCAGGGACAGTGTCGCCTCCTGCAGGACCTCACCTGGTCGCAGGTGAAGACTGTGGCTGACCCCATCTGCTCTGCACCTCCACTTGCCCGTGGTCCTCCCATAGGAAGGTGCTCAGAGCCCTGGGGGATGCGATCTTCCAGGGGTGACCTTGTCTTTTCTTCCCATTCCACTCACCAGGCTTCCTTCCAACATCCTAATCTTTTGCATTATGTAAAAATTCTTTATGCGCATCAAATCCTGGGAGAATGAAAGTAAGCAACACACGTTTTGTTTTATTTGTTTGTTTTTATGCATGCTGACCAGCTAGCAAGTCAATAATTAAGGGTTTGGGGTTGCAGTTTTGGTTTTTTTGCTCCCCGTATTTTTGTATTTTGGGATTCACAGGGGACTCCTGGTCAACTGTTTTTTCCCCTATAAATGTCCACAAGTTTAGGATTTGCCATCTAGTTGCTCTGTCTTTTTGCTCCCAATATTGTAATCGTGAACATTTTCAAACCTCCAGGAAAATGCAGAGAACGATACAGGGAACAGCTCCCCACCTACCCCCCACATGTCATCATTGTTGGCATCTCACCCCATTTGCAATAACACACCCGATCGCCTACTAGCCACTCGCCAGCCCAGCATCTTCTGGA